GACACGCGCGCGCGCGCGCACACACACACACACACACACACACACAAATATTGTAAAATTCCATCCATAGAAAGTATAAAAACAGGCAGAACCAATCTATAGCATAAGGATCTGGCACATGGTTGCCGTAGGAGAGGAGGGTACACAGTGACTTGTCAGCATCAGCAGGGCTTCTGCAGTGACTGATCTGTTCCCTTATCTATCACTGCCAAATAAATTACCCTAAAACTTAAAATAACAACCATTTCATTATATATCTCATAATTTTGTTGGTCAGGAATTTGGACCATTCTTTTGCTCCCTGTGGTTTTGATGGTTTTGAGGGAGGTCACTCAGTGGTCTTCCACTGGCAAATGGGCCAGTTTGCAGGGTCCCAGAAAGGTCTCCTCACAAGTTCCATGCTCTGGCATGGATCACAGATGTCTGGGCTCCACTGGAACTGTCAATGGACATGTGGCCTCTCCAGCACGGCGGACTCAGGGTGGTTCTGAGCTCCCAGAGAGAGTTTCCAAGAGACCCAAGTAGAAGCCACAAGGATTCTTATTAACTAAACCTAGCATCATTTCCACTTCATTGTGTTGATCAAAGAAGTCACTAGAGCCAGTCCCAATTCAAGGGGAGGAGAGAAAGAGACCTGGCTTCCCCAGGGGAAAGGTATGAACGCAGGGGGAGGGAACGAATTGATGGCGGCCATCTTGGAGACAAGCCACGGTGGGTAACGTTCAGTTTCTTGACTCGGGTGTTGATGACAGGCTCTATTTAGTCTGTAAACATTTATCCAGCTGTGTAATTATGATATGTGCCCTTTTCTGCATGTATATAATTTTAATAAAAAGTAGAAATTTAAGGCCGGGCGTGGTGGCTCACGCCTGTAATCCTAGCACTTTGGGAGGCCGAGACGGGCGGATTGCTCGAGGTCAGGAGTTCGAAACCAGCCTAAGCAAGAGCGAGACCCCGTCTCTACTATAAATAGAAAGAAATTAATTGGCCAACTAATATATATAGAAAAAATTAGCCGGGCATGGTGGCGCATGCCTGTAGTCCCAGCTACTCGGGAGGCTGAGGCAGTAGGATTGCTTGAGCCTAGGAGTTTGAGGTTGCTGTGAGCTAGGCTGACGCCACGGCACTCACTCTAGCCTGGGCAACAAAGTGAGACTCTGTCTAAAAAAAAAAAAAAAAAAGTAGAAATTTAAAAAGAATCAGAAAGACCCTCGTTGGAACAGGCGGGTCCCCTTCGGGCCCTGCCGTGGCGTGATGGAGACTCCTGCTTCACTGGAGTCACAGGACTCCTTCCCAGCCCTGTTATCTTGGGCCCGCTTTCCCCCCCGAGGGCCTCAGTTTCGATGAGGAAGGAAGGCAACATTTCCTGGGATTACCACGAGGGAGAATGAGACAACCAACTTAGGGGAAGACTTCCGGCATTTCCTGGATGCTCCGTAAATGAGTTCCGATTCATTCCAAGCCCTGAACACGGCCTCAGCCCCCCGCCTCCCAGCTGCCAAGGAAGTTTGCGGCTAAGACTTCCTACAAGCCCTGCCAGGAGTCCAGAGGGAACTTGTCTTCCTGCCCCCCTGCTCACCTTGCGAGCAGAGAAAGGGTGCATTCTCAGGCACCTGTGCCCTACAGGGAGGGCCTCGGTCAGAAGCTGATGAAAACACTCTGCAAGTGCCAGAGCAAGACCAAAGTCCCCAAGTGGAGTGACAAGTGAATCACCTCGACTAATGCTTAGTCACTGCAAGGTACTTTCCACACAGACACATGGAGATGGTTACCAGAGAAATGTCTGCTGGCCGCTCTCACATCAGCTCAAAGAAAATGTTGTTGTAACCTTTACTTTGGAGGGGGAAAAAATAGCATCACTTTCCCTTTTCCTTTCCTTTTCTCTTTTGGAGAGAGATTTGTTGGCAAAATTGTCCAAGTGGTTGTTTTTGTTTACCCTGGAGAAAGTTTCCAGATAGCTCTGAATCCAGAGCCTTGTGTATGTGGCAGGCCCTTCAAGTCCTAAGCACTTAAATGTCTAAGTGTGTAAACAACCCCCTTAGAGGAGACTGACACGGGCCGTCCAGATCACGGAGCCTCCCATCAAGCTCTGGGATCCCCAGCAGCGTCCTCCAGGCTCTGATAAGTCAGGGAGCCCCTGGGTCTATACTGTCAGCATAGCCTGGGGCATGAGATTGCAACTTCCTGAGCCCCCTACTTCCTCATTTATAAGAAGGAGGCTTAATAATGCTTACCCACAAGGTGGTTGTTAGAATTAAGGGAGGTGATGTGCAGAAGCACCCCCAACAATCCTTGGCACTCATATAGTAATTGATTAGTTAAAATTAATCTCTCCCTGCCTCTCTCCTGATCCAGCCTTCATTACTTGCCTTGCTGCCTGTCTCGTTAAACTCCCTCTCTTCCTCCTATCCAAACTCACTTAGTCAACCCTTATTCTCTCCTCCCCACTCTGCCCTCTGCAAATTTTCTTTCCCCCCTTCCTTTTTTTTTTTAGCCTTGTTTTCAAGCCTCATGCCCCCCCCCCCCCTCGCAGCCATCTCTCTGGCTGGTACGGCTTTGGCATGGAGCTATTGAAAGCTGGCCAGATTCTGGTCAAAAACACTGCGATTCTTGGCCAGACTTTCTCTCCTTACAAACGAGGGTGATGTTTCAGGCATGGGAAGTCTTCCCATCCATTTAGGCCCCAGGGAAAAAAATAGCAACGCCTCAGTGTGTGGCCTTAGGTGGATGGCGAAGTGGGGCTCTGGGTATTGACAGAAATAAATCTGGTGTTTCTGAAAATTGTGAAACATGCGCAGTGATGTGTCATCCCAGCAAAAGTGAGTCAGCCCCCAGGCCTGAGCCCAAATCTGGCTGCATTCACTTTCTAAATAGAAAGTGTATTCCTGGCCGGCCTAATTTAGCAAAGTGGCGGTCAATGAGAGTAGAAGAAAGACAGGCAGAGGAGACATCCAGACCTACACTTTGCAAGAAGGTTACTAGGAAAATCTGTTTCGATGTGTTCTCTCTCTCTCTCTCTCTCTATATATATATATATTTTTTTTTTCTTTTTAATTATTTTTAGAGATGGAGTCTTGCTCTTGCTCAGGCTGGTCTCGAACTCCTGAGCTCAAGTGATCCACCTCAGCCTCCCAAAGTACTAGGATTACAGGCATGAGCCACCACGCCCAGCCTGTTTCAAAAAAAAAAAAAAAAAAAAAACATTTATTTTCCTTTCTTTCCTTTTCTCTGTATCCTGATGTCTGTGCCAAGCTTTTTCTTCTATTGTTATTGTAGCCTGAACTTCTAGAATGGCCTTCAAAAAGAGGACCACAGCAAAGGACCACATCAAGGCAGCCTGGAATAATTGGATGCCAAAACCTTTGGAGTAAGACAGGCCTAAATTCAAGTCCTGGTCTCACCTCCGATTAGCTGTGTGTGTGTGTGTGTGTGTGTGTCCTTGAGAAAATTTCTAACCTCTCTGGAGTTGTTTAGTGTCACATCAACCAAATGGGAGAAAGCCTGCCTCTTTCCCAGCGAACAGAAAAGAAGGCAACAGAGCAGTGGTGAGTCCACAGCAGGTGCTCATTTTATCTAAGGAACATTTCTCTTTCCCAGAAAGGGGAGTCTCTGGAAGTCCCACGCCTCTTCCTTCCCCGGTTCTCTGTGCACGTGGGGCTGCCCCTCTAGAGGGTGTGGGCACCCAGCCTCTGTGACCAGCAGAACAGCAGCAGCTGCTGCAGCCACCTTTGCCTTTTCCACTCCAGACACAGAATTTGGATGAGAGAAGCACCGCCCGGCCCAGGGCCTCCTGCGCCAGCTTCACGGGCAGGCCGGGCTCCCCAGCAGCCCTGTCAAGCACAGATGCTGGGGTCACGTGGCCGCCACCGTGCCAGAGGAAGTGATGCAACCAACCTCTGGCTTTGGGTCAGCCTGGAGGAAAGTGTCCTGTTACAACGTGGGCGTGGCTGGCTTCAGAGGCTCCAGGCCCTCACCCTGTCCCAAACCCACAGCAGAGGGGCAAGTGGGAGACCTATCTTCGTGCACACACTGCCTGCTGTTCGCCCTGTTTTGTGCACCGCCATCTGGGGCCTACGAGGCGCCCAGCCAGGCAAGTCCTGCCAGGCCCTTGGCCTCTCCCTTCCCCCTGCTCCGGCTCACAAGTTGCCCTCACTACAAACACCTGTTTCCTTTCCCCCCGGGCCCTGTGGGGTCTATTGACTTCATGTGCATAGCAGGGATATAATTGAATTCAATTATAATAACTACATCCATTAAAAACCTATGTAATGTTCATTAGGCAGCCTAGGTAATATGCAATTAATGGCATTACCATATGAATTGTGCATCGGGTCACTAATATGCAGATTATGTATAATGTTCAATATGCCAGAAAAACACAGCACTCACAGCTTGCAGGCCTGTCCCAGTTATAGACGCTTTTGATCTCATACAAATGCCTTTTATGGAAGAGCCTTTCCGTTCATTGAAACATTTGCTTTTTGGTGACTGTTGGAGAGAAAGGACTCTGGCTGGTGCTGGTGTGCTGGTGAACTTGAGAAGACTGTATCGGAGCTTCCACTGGAGAAGGGCCATGACCTTGAGGGCAGAATTCAGATTTCCAAGTTCTGACCTAGTCTTTGCTGAGTCTTTTTCTGCCAATCACTGCCACCTCCAATGGGATGTCTGTCATCTGGGAAATGAGTGTAATAGCCTGGATGCTGGCTATGTCACCCGCACATTAAGTAGATTATCTCATTAGGGAGACTCGCATGCTTTGGACACGCAGAATAGCAATAACATTGAGCGTCACTGCTACGAAGCTCCCAGTAGAAACATCTCCACTAAGGACAAGAACCTGCTCCAACTCACCCAGCCTGCCCTGGACGTGGGCAGGTTTGTCCGATTGCCCTCAACCCTGACGACAGGGCTGCCCTTTAAGTGAGGTTCTCCCGTAGTTTCTCCTCAAAGGATGTTACTGGTGTTGCCTGATGTCTGGAGTTACCATGTCCATTTTACAGAGTTTGGAAACTGAGGCTCTGGTGAATGAAGTGAGTTACCCAAGGTCATCTCAGAGAGCCTCCTTAACATGAAGGAGTTGACAGAAGATGGACAGAAAGGTGAGCACCCCAACGCCTCGTAACCCACCTTGACCGCACACAGCCTTCCTCACCTCCTCGGCTAACATGAGCGAAGTCCTGAGCACTCACGCCCACCTTGTTCTTCCCATCTACTGCTGCCTTTCATGAAAGCCCCAGTGATCCCGCCCCGAACCAGCTGCCCGGCCACACTCTGCTCGCCACACAACACTCACGTGAGCACCAGCCCCAGACCAGACGCCGTGCTGGTCCCTGGGCTGAAAGCATGAGCAAGTCGAGGCCCTGCTTTCAGGCAGCGACACCATCAGCTCAGGCCTTGAACCCCTGTTCCTGAAATATGACCACCTACTGGGTGCTTTGCCTCGAATTTCACATCCTTCCAGTCCAGTCTTCTCACGGCCACCAGAACGTGCTTCCTAAAATGCAGAGCTGGCCCTGTACTCGATCCCCTGCTTGAATCCCTTTGTGGGCCCCCGTCACCTACAAAACAAAGTGGAAGCCTTCAGTGTCCTGTTCTCCAGCACCTGCCACATGCACCAAAATCACCGGACGTCCCACCCACAGATTGTCCTCATTCCTGCAGTGTGACTTGCAGCTCCTCCCAGTAAGAAGGGAGCTTATTTCTCTGCCCCTTGATTGCCAGTTGGGTGTGAAACTGTCTTTGGCCAGTGGGATGTTAGCAAATGTGAAGCAGGCAAGGCTTGAGAAGCCTCTTCCGCTACCATGGTTATAAGCCCCAGCTAGACTCCTTGAGGATCAGGCCCACGGGGAAAGAGGTCCTTGCTGAGGCCCCACATATGTAGGTAACACCGTCCTCTCCCACTCAGCAACAGCTAAGCTGGCTCAGACCAGAAGTATCACTCAGTCAACACACAAAATCATTTTTAAAAGTGATAACTGTTGGTTGTTTAAGTCACTAAGTTTTGAGCTTGTTTGTTGTACAGCAAAAGCTAACCAATACAAGCTCACGAATGCACATGCTCTTTTGTGCTACCTAACCCACACTGTCCCCTCTGCCTGGCATGTAGTTCCTCCTCCTTCTGTGCCTGAACACGCGTCCGTTCTGCTCGCTGGATGACAGGCAGAGAAAGGGAGAGGAATCGCCATGGAAAGAGGAGCGCAGACTGAGGTTTGCAGGGGACGCGTATGATGCGCTCAGTATTCCTAGCCTCGCTTCTCATCCTTCTCCTGGGTGGGCACACATCCTTTCTTTCTCTCAACATCAATGAAAAAGTGGGCATCCCTCGGAGCACAGGCTAAACCTGCCTAATACCAAGGCTGTGTCTACACCCGGCTCACCCACCATCCTCACCCTCCTCGTCTCACTCACATTTGTTTTCCTCTCTGGCCTGGGAAAGCGCTTTGCCCAGCATAGTGCCTGGCTCATCAAGTGTCTTGGAAAGGCCCAGATCAAAGTCACCTCTTCCAAGAAGCCTTCCCAGCACCCCGGGCAAAGCGGCTCTCTGTTCCTACCCAGGGCGCCCCCATCCAGTTGTACACCTGGCAGGGCGGATCTGTTTACCTCTCTCTGCCACCAGTCCCCATGCCCAACACGGAAGCAGCCTGAGCCACCAGCACATCTTCTTTGTCTCTGTGGCCCCACACAGTAGAATCCAACAGCTGGTTTGATTAATTAATTAATCCATCACGGATGGTGCCCGAGACAGTCACAGGGAGGAAGAAACCAGCAGTTTGGAGTCAGACCTGAATGTAACCCCTGCTTTTACATTTGCAGGTAGAAAGTTACTACGTAACTGTGTAAATTTCTAGTCACTCCGGGAGTGTATGAGTGAGTGAGCACTGTCTACAGTACAGGTGACCCTTGAACAAGACAGGGGTTGGGGACCCTGACCGCCCATGCAGTCAACAGTCAAAAATCTGCATGTAACTTTTGACTCCCCCAAAACTTTACTAATAGCCTACTGTTGGCTGGGTGCCTCACGGATAGCATAGATGGATGATTAATACATTTCTGTATATTGTATGTGTTATACACTGTGTCCTTACAATCAAGTAGGCTAGAGAAAAGAAAATGTTATTGAGAAAATCATAAGAGGCCAGGCACAGTGGCTCATGCCTGTAATCCCAGCACTCTGTGAGGCCGAGACAGGAGGATTGCTTGAGGCAAGGAGTTCAAGACCAGCCTGAACAAGAGCAAACCCCATCTCTATTAAAAATAGAAAAATTATCAGGGCCTGGTTGTGTGTACTGGTAGTTCCAGGTACTTGGGAGGCTGAGCCCAGGAGTTTGAGGTTTCTGTGAGCTGTGATGATGCCATGGCACTCTCAGCTAGGGCAACAGAGTGAGACTCTGCCTCAAAAAAAAAAAAAAAAATCATAAGAGAAAATATATTTTCTATTCATTAAGTAGAAGTGGATCATCATAAAGGTCTTCATCTTTGTGGTCTTTACATTGTGTAGGCTGAGGAGGAGAAGATGAGGAGGGGGTGGTCGTGCTGGCTCACCGGTGGCAGAGGTGGAAGGGGCCAAGGAGGTGGAAGGGGAGGCTGGAGAAAGGCAGGCACACTCGGTGTAACTATTATTTTTTTAAAATCTGGCTGTAAGTGAACCCATGTAGCTATGTTGTTCGGGGTCACTTGTAATCCTAATCCTTTGAGGACTCAGAGATCTGGGTCATACTCTGCCCTCAAGCCGAGTTCTGGTCATCCTCTCCCTTCTTTCCAGCTGCCCATGAATTTTCCAGGCCATTTTGATTTTTGGCCCTATGTGCTGGCTGCCTCTTTGGGTCATGCAAAGGTCTCTCCCATACCACGTGGGTGTCCTGAGCTGGAAGGAAAAGCACCCACTTTGAACTTGGGGCTTACATACCTTATCTTACCTACTTTCTCCCCCGTGCAGGGAAAGGAGATGGTGCCTGCTGGTGCGGCGTGTGAACTCTAAGCCAAGATGCAAACTTCTGTTGTCACTTTTCCAAGAGGAAACAGAGGCTTTCAGTGCCCACCTCTCCTCCCCTCACCCCATCCTCCTGCGTCTACAACTGCAGATGACAAGAGGCCCTGGCCAGGTTCGGTGTCAGAAATGGTATTGGGAGAGGAGGCTGATTCATACTGGTTCACTCATCCCTTCATTTGCTCTTACATTCTCTCACTCATTGCCGCAGCCCCTCGTGTACACGTTCTCTACGTGCATGCAGTATGTGTTTTCTGTGCCAGACCATGTGATGGGAGCAAGGTGCACGAGTAAATGTGACTCAGTCGGTCCCTTCCCCGGGGGAGTTGAGTTTTCTGTTGGCTTCTCTCTGGGCGTGTGGATGTGTGTAGGGGCGGGCGGGAAAGCAGGCCACGGTGAGGTGCAGGGTGCCTTAGAAGTCTCCCAAGAGGAGGCCAAGGATGGAATCCCCCTGTGTTAAGCTGCAGGGTGGGCATGGAGTGCAGACCACAGGGGTGAGTGCAGAGAGGACACTGGAGTGTGGAGATCACAACCCAACCCTAAGGAGCTGCTCTTTGCCCTAGGCAAGTGGAAGCCCCTGAAGGCTGTGACACAAGGAGTTCACCGGAGTGCTCATCTACTTCCTTCTTTCATGCAAATGCAGTCTGACCTGCCCTCCCGACTGCAGGTCCCCCAGGTACACAGGGATCAAAGTAAGTGGTGTCTCCCTGCTACCAAGCATTCTCTTGATGAATTGGGCAGATCACTTTTATTTCCTTGAGCCCCAAACTAGGAAATACCAGCATTATTGACCTTTGTCACCAAATGGGTGTGACTTACTTTAAAGCAGTAAATATGTTTGTGTATGTGTGGAGGGGGTGGACAGGGGCTTTCCTGTCCATGGACCCCTGTCTATGCCCCTTACCGTGTATCCAGCAGTTACATATGCAGTCCCAGGTGGTCACACTTGGTCAGCATGCCAACTCTGTCATTTTGGGACCACTCAACTGCTTGGATCCTCAGTTTTCCTACCTGTGAAATGAGCATGATCACATTTCCTTTGTAGCCGTGTGAATGAAAAGGGACAATACATAGAGCCAGCACACAGTAAGGACACAATACATGATATTACTGTTATCTTTGTTAATATCAGTAGAATAACTGCCGGGACTTGAGACTCCATCGGAACTGTAAGCTCACTCCATGCTCTGCCTCGACACACTCAAAAGGCCTCAGGGCCAACACCCTTTCATTTCCAGGCACACGCAGTGCCCCCTTCCAAAGTTCCACAGTTTGAGAAGGAAAGAACTGCCAAAGAAAATCCAACGGCATGGTTTTCCTATCAAAGAGAAAAAGAAAGAATGCAAAACAGTTGCCGGAACACACCATTTTTTGTCCAGGGACTTCCTAAAAGTCGAAGGGCCTTTCCACAGTACTCCGGGCCCATGCTTGCCACCAGGCCATTTCCCAGCAGATGCGGCTGGGCTGGTGTCCCCTGCCAGATTCTGGGGATAGGGCAGGGAAGGCCTGGCCAGGTACAGGCGTGCCCAAGGCCTTATCTTCCGGGCCTCGCTGGCCTGCAGCGAAGGCAGAGCAGGCTTTGGGCTGCACCCAGCATTCCCAGGAAGAAGCCCTGTTCTCCTCCAGAGCAGAGACGAAGGCTCCCCCAGCACCCCGGGCCTCCTGCCGCCATGCTCCTCGCAGAGATCAGCTCTTGCCAGTGGGCCAAAGCCCCTTTTCCTCACCGTGCCTCCCGGCCTGTTCTGCTCTCTCATCTGGGCAGAGCCCAGCCTTCATCCAACGCCCTCCCCGCGTGCTGGGGAAGGACACCCGATCCTGCTGGTGCGGCAGGGACAAGGTGCTGGACCCATCGCTGGAGCTCCCTGAGGGCGGGGGACGCTCAGATTCATCTGCGATGGCAGCTGCCAACACCCCCCTCCTGGCACACAGTAGGTGCCCAAAACCGAGAGCTAGTTAAGCAGCTTATCCGGTCCTGGAGCAATTAGATGAGGGAAGCAGAAGAGATCAGCCCTCACTAAGTAGAAGCCAGCGCTAGGAGTAATATTATCTCTTTTAATCCTCATGCTAACCCTGCAAAGTAGGTCTTCTTAGACCCACTTCATAGACAGACAAACTGAGGCTTAGAAATAACTTTACCAAAGTTCCAGGGGTAGAAAGTGACAGCACTGGAACTGGAACTAGGTTCATCTGACTCTCTCCCGTGGTAGCCCCTGCCTCTCAGGAAAGGGGATGTGAGTGTCCACGCTGACAGGCCTTCAGCCTGCACACCTGGCCCACAGGTGCACCCAGCAATGTGCCCGGCATGGGAAGGGAGAATAAGAACTCTACACCCTCCACGGTCCCCCATTCTGACTGGGAAGACAATGCAGGGAGAAAAAGCAGAGTGAGGATAACAGGAAGTGGCGTTGAGGAGCTTGGGGCGGGCGGGGCAGAGGACACGGCCTGACTGTGATCGGTGAGTTAGCACAAAAGGGCTCTGGACATCCAGGGCCACACAAATGCCAGGTGCTAACTCCCCTCATCTTCTCGGGAGTCAGGAAAAGTCCACACAGGAGGGGCTTCTAAAATCCAGATGGATTGAGGGAGTAAAGGAATAATTTTAAAAAGTAGTGCTGCCATTTATAAATTGCCTACACTGTCCAGATACTCTTCTGGGCACTGTAGATACATAATTGTATTTAATCCTCACAAAACTGCAAGAGACAAGAGTTATAATTCCCATTTTACAGATGAGAAAATTGAGGTTCAGGTCAGGGAAATGACCACATAGCTGCTAAGCGGCAGAGTCAGAATTTGCACTCATGTCTGACTGTTTCCAATGACTGTTCAGCTCATGAGCCTCAAAAACTACAGGTGCCAAGTAGGTTACACAAATGAGGCTAGCAGGGTGGGAGTAAAAGGAAGAGGTGGAGACGGCAGGAAACCCAAGCGCACGGGCTCTGTCTAAAGGGGCAGCTTCTCCCCAGCTTCAGGCAATGCTTGCCATTTGAGAATGCAGACCCTGTGCGGCCAGATCTTTCCATTTCAAGATAAGCTATAAATAATTTCTGTTTCTGGGTGTAAAATCAGACTTTTAAATGTCAGAGAATAATTTTTAAATTGTTTAAACACTTAGAAAATTAAACAAAGCCTGTCTGAAAGACAGATGTGGTCAACATTTTGCAATCTCCGTTCTGCGATGTGGGGTGGCGGAGGGCACCCCGTCCCCTAGAGATGGTCGAGCAAATTCTGGACGACAGCCCCGAGCGGGTGGTGGAGAAGCAATCGGAGGGGCCGTTGCCAAGGTGGGCCCAGTGACCTTTAAGGCTCCTCCCAAGCCCCAGACTGCGTGAATCCAGGAATTGGCAGAGTGGAGACGGGCGGGGCCGAGGCGAGGGGAACGCTGTGAGCAAAGGCCTGGAGCCAGGAGCAGGCCTCTCTGGCCTTCGTTCGCTTCCCGCTCCAAGAGCTCTCGTGTCCCTCCCTTGTGTCCTCCTTTTGGTGATGGCTCTGGCACGGCTCCAGGAAAGGCCCCTTGGCACTTCCTGGACCTGCCTCCAGACTCCTCTCCACCTGCCTGGCACTGCGTCTCCTCTTAAAGCCACTTCTGCAAATGCTCGGCCCACCTAGTCTTGGCCACCCAGCCTAGATGACCCCAAAGGATGGCGGTCTGCCATTTGTCATTTTCCCTTCCAACTAGTCCATGAACTCCCAAGTGCTCATAACGCCCTGGCTGTCCACGGAGGTCTGTGGAAGGTGACATGGCCCCACGAGGAGCAAGACAGATGGGGCCCCTCCTGCACTCACAGTTCCGTTGTGACCACACCATGGTCTAGTCCGGGGCTGGCCGTGCGGGGGCTACTCAGCAGAGACTTGTCAAATGGAGACAAGTGATGACAAAACGGAGACAGCTTTGACCAGCCGCCTCTCTCACTCCTCGTCCCCATGTCTCCTTCCCACTGCAAGCACCCCGTCCTGTCCACTCCACTTCCCTGGCGTTTCCCCCAAGCATCAGAGGTGGCACAGCGGGGAAAGGCCCAGGGAACCCGAGAAGAAGGTGGTTACAGGTGGTGTCTTTTTTTTCCTCTAATGCTCTCACTGCTCCCCCTCCCCAGCCGTGGCCGAGGCCCCACTTGCAGACACGCTCCTCCTGCAGCTGGAAGCCGGCACACTCCTCCTGCCTCTGCCGTGGCAGGCAGCCCTGAGCCGGCTGCCAGGCCCCGGGTGGAGTACAGATAGCCCAGCCCCCCTTCAAGGACACCGGGAGCCAGCAACTCACCCCCTGGGCACCCCTCCAGATTCCCCTTGAGCCAGGGCCTGAGCACATGGACCCTAATCAACTAAACCCCCACCCTTCCTTCTGCAAACACACTTGTGGCCAGCCGCGGGGCAGCCAACCAGCAGAGCTGATCTCCGTCAGCTCCCGGCCCCGCCCACACCTACAGTGCTGGCCCCTGACGCTTACCACCCCCCACCGCCCCACCCCCCCAACAGCAGCGGGGCCATCCGAGAAGCGCTGTGAGCCACCCTCTGGACCAGGAGAGGAGCTCAGGGACCAAGGAGGATGCCGAGCTGACTCTAATGGACTCCCACCCTCACGTCCTCCAGTCCCCTGCTCAAATGCCACCTGTCGGGGAGGCCTGTCCTCACCTCCTATAATCACACACATCCCTACCGCCACCAACCCCATCTATGCCTTATTTGTCTTTATGGGATTTTTTTTCTTTTCTTTTTTATCAGTTGGCATATCATGATGTGTTCCCTGGTAGGAAATTCACTAGGATGAAAGTTCTATGAGAATAGCAATCTTTTTGTTCTGTTCATTACTGTACCTACAGCTTCTAGTACCTAGTGGGGTGCTTTAAATATTTAAGAAAAGAAGGAAGGAAAGAAGGAGAAAAGGAAAGAAGGAAGGAAGGAAGGGTCTCTAAAGAGCGTAGGCCTGGTTAGCCTCCCTCTCTTCCCAGTTGCACCTCTCCTCCAGACTGGTGGCCTTATGGCCTTTCAGGAGAAATGACTTTAGCAACCAGTTTATAAACTATCATTTAACCGAGGCCCGCTCTGTGCCAGGCAGAACAGATACGTGATCTCACTTACTCTTCTCAACAACTCTGAGGTCTGTGTCACTCCTCTGACTCGGGCTTTCTCAACCTCAGCACCCTGACATTCGGGCTCAGACAGTTCTCTGTTGGGGCAGGGTGGGGTCGGGGGTCACCTCGCTGTGCAACGTGGGGCGTCTGGCGGTATCCCCGGCCTCTACCCACCAGAGGCCACCAGCACCCTTACCAAAAATGTCTCCAGACACCGCTAATTGTCCCTTGGGGGGTAAAATCGCTGCATTTGAGAACTTCTATGTTAACTCTACAAATGAGGGAACTGAGGCTCAGAAAAGCTGGAGGAGCTGCCCGATGTTACAACAGAGGCGAGAATTTCCGCTAGGTCTGCCTTGCTTCGGAGCCAGTGTCCCCTCCGTCCTGCCAGGCCACTGTCCCCCGCAGGGCAGGGCTCACTGCCCAGCGAACGGTCACTGGGAAGACCCAGAGGCCCCTGCCCGGGCCCTGCCGCCGCCCCAGCAAGGACAGAGGACGGAGCGGGGCCCCTGCCGTGCGAGCAGAGCCTTCCCCAGCCGTTGCCGCTGAGTCTAGGGCCAAGCAGCTTGAAAAACACTTACTCACACTCTGGCCGTGCCTGGGAAACATCACCAATGATAAATCATATCTCTTAATTATCTGTGATTCCTCAGGCCGGCCAAGATTTCCTTTTCACGACAAATATTTGCTCTGAGATTCCTCTCCCCTCTGAGAAGGAGAAGCAACACGACGACCACAGATGCAAGGAGAGCCCCGGGGCTGGTCCCCGAGTTTGCCCAGCGTCTCTGGTCGGCCCGCGGTCCCGCCCAGCCCGTCTGGAGCCGGAGCCCTGCCTGGGCATGCCTCTTCCCGCCACGCTCCTGGTACTAAAGCGCCCGGGTTTCTGTTTTGATTCTCTGGTTTTCTGTTTTCTCAGAAGGGTTCCTGAATTGGAGATGTTCACTCACTTAGATAAGTCCTGTTTGAAATCACTTCTGGGAGGAAGACAGAAACCAAAAGGGCACAGGGCCAGGGTGAAAGGGCCAGGGTTCAAGTGAGCTTGACCCTTTATGGGGAAACTCATTTTGCCCTGCTCAGACCCCTTTGCGCTGTGAGGAGAGCGCCCAGGCTCCCCAGCCCCCACGCCTTGCAGCCCTTTGTCCTCTGGGGCTCCTTCCAGCTCTATCTCACCCCACCCCACCCCTCTGAGGCTCTAATCATCCAAAACCCGCTTACTAGCTTTTAAACATGATTTCACACATGTTCTTATCTTTGCAGTGAGTGGGGTTTTATTTTTAATGCTCTGCCCAGAAAACTTCTATTCATACTCCAAAACCCAATCTAAATGTTTCTTCCTTCTTCAATCCCTTCCCCAACCCAGGCAGAGTTCTCCCTCTCTCTCTCTGGGGTCCCTCAGCAGCTTATACAGACGTCTGTTTAACTTGGTTTACACTCTCTTGAAAGCATTTGTGTGACAGGTGTCTTCCTTCCCGTCCACCTGGCTTGGTTGTCCTTGGTCTACTGACATGCATGACTCTCCTGAGTGCATCTTCTAGAAGAACTTGCAGAAGAGCTTTCTAGCACTCAGGGACTCTAACACTATCTTGTGCTAGATTCCGAAGCAGGTGATGTGGGCCACCACTTTCTGTGAGAACAGTCTGGGTTCTGGTTACAGTTGGGTGTCATTGCCATGGAGCTGGGCTCATTGAAGACACTTGATCACGGTCAATCCCTTTCTTCTTGGTGTAAAAGTGTGGAGGCGGCCGGAGGGGCCTGGTCCAGGCTGAAAGAGACAGCAGGAAGCCAATATTCATCGCCGCAGCTCAGCCTCCCTCTTTGAACCCGCAGCTCCCCACGGACCTCCCACAAGCCCAGCTGGGACTCAGGGACGTTCTCTCCTGCTCAGGTCCTGGTGATGAGAAAGAGGCTTGCCGCCCAGACCCAGCTGCCTGACCCTCCACAAGTCCTGAAATGTCACACCCTAGCCCCAGAGAGAACCACCACACCTGCTTGGACTTGTGTGACCAATGAGAAGTGGCATCTGTGGTCCCTGGAGGAACCTGGGTTGTGGTAGGTCTGTGACACTGTGCTCACGGCAGACATGAGGTTGCCCTGGGAAGCAGAGGCACCCGACTCCCATATCTGCCCAATGCCCTGAGTGTATGAAACAGCAGATACATTTGGAACGCTGCCCCAGTGCAGTCATTCAGAAAGTGGCTCCAGGCCCCGCTCAGGAGTTACCAGGCTATGAAGGGGTAGAAAACCCAGAGACCTTTAACTGATGGCAGGAGATGGGACTAAGGATGAGGGTGAGTCTATAACTTAGGGACAGACAGCAGGAGACATTGAGTGACAATGTCAGGACTTGGGTTGTTAATTCTTTAAGCAGTTTGCAGCGAGAAGAGCGGCATGATTCGATCCGGGTCTCAGCTCACCCCAGCTGCAAGCTGAAGACACCAAAGGGGCGGTGCTGGGAGCCAAGAGTCGAGAGAGGCTCTTGCAGCTGCCATTGGGAGAACTACCAGGCCCTGAGCTGCTGAGCTGCGGGAACTAGGAAGCAGGGGCAAATCTCAAAAGTCTGAAATCCCGAAAACCAGCAGGACTTGGTAGCTTCTCAGACTGGTGGTTCAAGAGGGAGGGTCATCAGGATGGGTGCGCTGGCTTCAGTAACTAACTGAGCGGTGGTGCCATCAGCCAAGACAAGAAATAGCGCCCGAGGGACCATTTGTCAGAGACAGTGGAGGCCAGGAGGACAGCAGGGACGATGCAAGCGTTGCTGTGGGTCTATTCTCTTAGAGGTCCCGGGCAACACCCAAGTGAATAGGGAGACGCACGAGCTAACCTCAGGGCAGAAATGGAGGCTGGAAATTCAGCACAGAAGTTGTTAAATCTACTGAAAACCATGCATCTGCCCAGGAGAGTGTGCAGACAGGAAAGAGAGGGATTTGTGCAGAGCCGAGAAGGTACCCAGCAAGGTAAGAGGCAGAGGTAGGAGATGCCGGTGAGGAAGCAGCTAGCACAACACCTGGCACATAGAAAGTGCCCTAGGTATTGGCAGTTCTCTACCCAACTGGCGATTAATGTGAACAATAGCTGTCGCTGTCAGTGAGTTACTGAACTCTTACTGGGCGGGAAGGTTAAGCACTCCCTAAAGAGCTATGTGGTTTCCAAAGCCTGTTGCTGTTACCCCTATTTTCAAGATAAGGGAATAAAACCCTAGTTTATAGACGGGGAAACCGAGCCCAGGATGGCAATGCACAGGCCGTCTCGGATGAGTGGCCCTAGAACACACAGGAAAGCAGTGAGCACAGTCCCCAGCCCCAAACCCCTGTCCCACCTACCAGTTGTGCTGCCTCTGCAGATTTTTGCTGGCCCTCCTGGGGAGTCCGCAGCTCAGCCCCAGACAGCACAGCACGTCTTGACTCCAAGTCAAAGGGCCTGAAGAAAACCCTCCAAGGTCTCCTGGCTGCCAAACTGTGATTGCAAAACTACTTCTGATGATTTAACTGTAAATGAATCTGAAACATACGGACTGAATTTCCCTTGAACTACGCATTAAAATTTTCATTTGATTAAAAAAAAAAAAAAAAACAGGGCCCTGTTGAAAAATTGCAAAGAAAAAAAGAAAGAACAAAGTGGTGAATATGCGGAGGTCGAAGGGGTATGGAAAGGGAAGAGCAGTAGGGAGAGAACGCTTTTGGACACCCCCCAAGTGCAAGGCAAGGGAGAGATTTTACGAAGGACTGTGAATTTCTTCTGCCTCTGGTTGAGGGTACATAGCTGGAACTGACAGCCCTGTATGGGGTTGTCCAGTGACTGCGGAGGAGTGGCAGCTTAGGAAAGAGGAAACTATACCTGCAAGGTGGTGCATGTGTGCAGGCAAGTAACTGAAAAAGAAGAAAAGTATATATACTACATGGGTACGTGTGTGTGTGTGTGTGTGTGTATATATATAAATATGTATGTATAGGAACAATCTTCTCTATATAGAGATATAAAGATATATAGATATATTTAGGATATGTACATATATAGACACATAAATATCACCAAGCTCCAAGTAATTGCTTGGGGAAGAAAAAAAGCCTGTTACATATAAAATTTAAATTACATATAAAAAATATTATATTTATTTTATATACAAATAATACAAACCTTAAACATTTTATATATATTCTAAATATACATATTCTAAAAATATCTATGCTAAATATATATATTCAACTTTTTAAAAATATATGTAGTATTAATATATACGTGTATATTCTGAAACAAAACACAAAGGGAACAGAACCGACAGGAGAGCAGTGAGTGTTTAATAAACCTGACCTAGCTCTCATCTTAATCCCTGGTTATTGGGAAGAGGCCAGAAATAGCTATTGGGATTTTTAGGGGCTGCGCTTCTGGTGGCCTCGGGGCCAGTGTGTTTAACTGGAGATGGGGTGAGACTCGCTCCGTCAGTGGGTCTGAGCTGGACACACAGGTGGGAGCTCGTTGCCATGCAGAGCAAGGACCCACAGGTCTTCAGCATCTTCACATCTGCCGCCTGCTCTGATTGGATATTCCCACCTATCCACTGCCCGCTCCTGGAAGTCACAATTTCTGGCTGAAAACTTCTAAAGGGGTGAAGAGAAACCCCCTTCTAAATAAACACAGAGATTGTCTTTGCCAGAGAAAGGCCACCCGCACAGAAGCTCTGATTTCCAATTATGAAGGGCCCAGAGCCACAGTCCAGGCTTAAGAGTGGTGATGGTGGCAGGGCGCAGTGGCTCACGCCTGTAATCCTAGCACTCTGGGAGGCCAAGGCGGGAGGATGGCTCAAGGTCAGGAGTTCGAAACCAACCTGAGCAAGAGCGAGACCCCCGTCTCTATTAAAAATAGAAAGAAATTAATTAGCCAACTAAAAATATATAGAAAAAATTAGCAGGGCATGGTGGCGCATGCCTGTAGTCCCAGCTACTTGGGAGGCTGAGGCAGGAGGATTGCTTGAGCCTAGGAGTTTGAGGTTGCTGTGAGCTAGGCTGACGCCACGGCACTTACTCTTGTTAGATGTAATAAAAGAAAAAAAAAAAAAAAAGAGTGGTGGTGGTGGTGAATAGCAGTGATAGTTTTTATTTCGTGTTTTTTCTCCCCAGTAAATTCTACGATCCTGTTCAGTTGTGTTTTCTTTGCTTTCCCAACCCTTCAGTGCTGTTAGGAAATAGGTTTGGGGAACACTTGTTCAAAACACAACAGCAGAAAATGGATGAGCAGCCAACAAGTTTTTCAAATGAACTATTTGGCAGCCCTGCCACAGATTACCACGCTGGTGCAAACCTCAACTCACTGCAGGGTCACAGATGTCAGAATCGTGTGGACTCAGAAATATGCACAACAACAACTGGAGCGTCCATCATTATGCCTGGCCCCACCAACATTGCAAAATGCTGGCCAGAGAAGAGGGGACAGACCATTCAGTCGCAGCCTTTTCCGAGTGAAGGTGGGGTCCTGCAAGCTACAATTCAGTTGTCAATAGGACTGGGAATTTTTTGGCAAAACCCATATAAAGTGGACCTTTTCATGCATGTGCCTGTAAACAAAAAGGGGGGGTGCTTTCTTTTAGGAGATTCTTGTCAGCAAAAGAGAATGGGAATTTTGCCAAGGCTGCAAAGGGATGGGTATACACTCTGCTGGGAATCTGCCAGTTCTTTGGGCACAAGGCAAGAGTTAACCCTTGGTAGAGTGTAAGAAGTGAGATGATCCACAGCTGACGTCAACAGCTCTGACTCAGAAGCCAGACCGCACCAGTTCAAACCTCAGCTATGAAACTACTTGCTGTGGGGCCTTGGGCAAGTAAATGAACCTCTCTGTGCCTCAGTTGCCCCACCTATTAAATGGGCCTAATAAAAATTTTAACTATGTTGTAATGACAGTCTGAGGATTAAATGTGGTAAACATGACAAGGATTTACACAGTGCCTGATGCATAGGAAGTTCTCAATAGATAGTGGTTGTGATTTTTGTTGTTTATTTGTTGTTGTTGCTGTTGCTGTTAGTTTCACCAAAATAAAAAAGCAGAGAAAAATATGCTTTGCTTAAACTGGTGAAAGCATGAATATGTTGTGCATGAATCCCTGTCTTAAATATCATAGAAATATTTATTTACTATGGAGACTCCACCAGAAATCACACTATATTTATCTACTTACTAAGTCATTGATTGATTCATTCTTACATTCTTTTAACAATAGCACTGAGGGGTAGCAATTTGAATAAGACATGGTTCCTACTCTCATGGGATTCTTAGTCTAGTTGAATAGATAAATGTGGACAGAATGATGACACAAGGCACACTCTCCCACATTCTAAATAGAAGAGTCCTCAAAAGCCAGAAGAAACACAGATCCTACTTGTCAATTTTGGCCGAGCCCAGACACCTGCTCTGCCAGGACACCTTTCCTGACACGTCCTCCTGCCCTCACCTTCTTTCCTTTAGCATCACAGCACACAGCAGGACTCAAAAGCCACTGCCTCCTCTTCTAGATTGGTCCTCCTTGAAGGTAGGGTTGATGCCAGTGTCATGCACCAATAGCTTCCCAGCGTAGGCTTATGGTCCTCATTCAGAGAATGAATATATGAATGGATGAGAGAGGGAGGGAAGGAAGGAAGGAAGGAAGGAAGGAAGGAAGGAAGGAAGGAAGGAAGGAAGGAAGGAAGGAAGGAAGGAAAGAAGGAAGGAAGGGAGGGAGACAGGGAGGGAGGGATAAGATAAAGTGGATTGAAGACGATAATTCCAGATTATCAGCAACAAATGTGTTAGGAGGCAGTAATACTGGTTTTAGACAACACTGTCCTCACAACCAAGAGATCCAAGCAGAGAAACCATGGCCTGACTTTAAGTGCATTTATCTTCATCAAGAAGACATGCGTCAGTATTGAGATCGGAGGATCTCCAGGCTAAGCTAGAACTCTTTCAGCTAGAGAGCTGTTGAGCTGGAGGTCAGCTTGTACCATGTCACAGTGACAAGTATTGATGTAATAACACAGTATCAATTACCCATGGAAACGGGCCATCAGGAAACTTGCATAAGCATGACCCATACAAAGTAGCCTTGTAACCTCATTATAGAATCCACTGGCCAGCCTTGCAGCCAATGGAGACCCACAACGAAGTGGGAAGGGAAAGGAATGTTGATGAGAGTTTCATAACAGTCCAAGGACGGTGCTAAGTCCTTTACATACAGTAATGGAAGGTCAGTGGTATTATTTCCATTTTATAGCTAAGGATCTGGAGGCTGGCAGAAGGTGAGCAATTTGCCGAATGCCACACAGCTATTAAAAGTCAAGGATGGGACTTGAACCCAGGCTTGCTGACTTCAAAACCTGTGCTCTTGCTTTTGAATCACAGTGTCCTTCTTCTCTTTCAGGCTATGATGCCCGTTTCTCAAAATCATAAACTGCTCTTTTCACTATCATTTGGCAACTGCACACAGTTCTTCAGGGAAATTGGGGAGCCCAGGATGAAAATTCCACCCATGGATTATCTTAAATTGCTTGTGTTTCCTTGAAAAAAATGCCTGGCACTACCAACAGCTCTGGTCTGGTTTCTAGCAGTGGCCAGAGTCTTGTTCAACCAGGAGGCTCTGAGAATCGATTGGTTGTGGTCCTCCTAACGTTTGACACCAACAGATGCTCTGAATCAGAAGCTGCCATCTGTCCATGACACTCAGCTTTATGGCGGTTCCAGGCCCTCACCAGCCCCTGAAGAATCGGCCTGGCTCCGTCAGGGCACTGCCACGGCGAATCCAAGGCACTGGAGGAATGCCAGCTTCCCAGCGGGAACGCTTGGGCAGACTTTTGGATCCCGGGTGTGTTCAACTGCAGAGTGAAGACAAAGGCTCCTAACGAAGAGGTCTACCCCCAAAAGACATGCCATGTGTAGAAGAAGGGACAATATTTAAGTGGGTCATGGGAGAGAGGTAGCAGGAAAAACACCAGCTTTGCCATCGCTTGAGAGACCAGGGAAATGGGAACTCCGTGTCCTGAGCCCACTGAGCACACTGTGCCAGCACTGGGCTGGGCACTTCACAGGCTTCATCTCCAATGCGCACAGTGGCTTTTTGAAGTCAGAATGACTATCTCCATTTTACAGATGAGAAAACCGAGAATCAGAAAGCGAGTTGTCCAAAGTCATTAACTCCCTATGCTAACCTCTGCACTAGGGCTAGGACCATGGCTAGGTTTTGCTCACCTCTGGATTCTGCACCTGGCATCAGGTCCAGCTGCACAATTTGGAGGCCTCAGTGCGAAATAAAAATGCAGGGCTCCTTGTTCAACAATTATTAAGAATTTCAAGATGGTAACATCGATCATTAAGCCAAGCGCAGGGATCTTCTTTTAAGATATATCTGCACTTCCATGTTTATTACAGCAATGTTCACAACAGGAAAGATATGGAATCAACCTGAGTGTCTATCAACAGATGAATGGATGAAGAAAATGTGATACATATGCACAATGGAATATTATTCGGTCACAAAAAAGAATGAAATCCTGTCCTTTGCAGCAACATGGATGGAATTAGAGGTCATTATATTAAGAAAAATAAAAAAAATCATATAAAGATAAATACCACATATTCTCACTCATATGTGGGAACTAGAAAAGTGTACCTAGTGGAGACAGGGAGTAGAATGGTGGTTACCAGATGCTGGGGAGGATGTACGTGGGGGGCGGTGAAATGAAGAATGGGTGCAGAAATACAATTAGAAGGAATAAGTTCTAGTATTCAATAGTGCAGTGGGGTAATGATAGTTAATAATTTGGAATAATCATGTATTCCAAAATAGCTAGAAGAATTGTAATGTTTCCAGCATAAAGAAAGAATAGATGTTTGAGATGATGGATATCCCAATTACTATGCTTTGATCATTACACATTGCATGCATACATGTATCAAAATGTTACATGCATCCCAAAAATATGTACAATAGTATATCAATTTTAAGAATACCAAAAAAAAATGTGTAATGTGTAGGGCCCTTGTAAGCATGGAAATCTGTTTGACTGCAGAAGCTGCATGCCCATGACACCAACCCTGCCTGGCATCATTTCTAGCACATAAGAACTAACTAATAAAAAGTCTATGGACTGAATGAATGAATGAATGAATGCCAATAAAACTGAGAAGAGATATGTCTGTTTGATCCCACAGCCTAGAGTCTTCCATCATTCTTTGCTGCCTTCTTCTCAAGTATAATCTCCCAGGTCCCAGTTTTCTCATCTGCAGAAGGTCAAAGAAATAACACCACTGTGATCTACATCACAATGGAAGAGGACTCAGGAGAACTTTGGCTGTAAATTCATAATTATGCAGACAAGAAAACTGAGGACAATAAAGGACCACTGACTTGCATACAGCCACACTTTGATTAAGATAAGACTGAATCTCCAAGTTCTTTTATAAAAATGTAACAAATGGGAAACATTTCCATGATCCACCACCTTCAGCGTCCCAGTGCACCATGTGCTTTCTTCCTTTCCTCTAATAAGTGATCATCAGCTTGCCATGACCCAGGGGAAAAGCAACACCATCCTCCAAAAATGCATGATGACGCTGCAGGCTTTCTAAGGATCAGTATCAGGCCTAGCAGGTAAAGAATATCTACAAGCATGTGTGAACAAAAGTATTCTGGTTTCTTGAGAAGATATTTACTGATTGATCCATATCTTAAAAAAAAAAAAAAAAAAAAAAAAAAAGACCTGGAGTAGAAAGAACACTGGATTTGAAATGAGAAAACTAGATTGACGCCCTGGGCCTTGACACTCACAAGTTGGATTATCTTAGGCAATCACGTACTCTCATTATAGCTCAATGTCTACATCGATGAATTGGGAATAAAACCAGGTTACTCTAAAGAGTTTTAGTAAGGATTAAATAAGATAATTATGCAAAACACCTAGCATAGAGCTTGGTACCTTACAGGCACACAATAAATACCATTTGCAATATAAATCTGCAGTGGAGATTTATTGTATTGAAAAAAAAAAAAACCACTTGAAATACAATTCTGAATCAAATAGATACTGATTAAGAGGCATTTCTTTTGCACAAGTTGTGGTTTGCTTCATAGGCAACAATGCAATACCCACTGGTGTATGAACACCCGTTTAGACAATAATTCCAGCCCTGGTCATACATACATGGTTGCTCACTCCTCTACCCCAGCCTCTAATCTGGTTTCTTTCAAATGAGTAATATCTGCCATGGCCTGGCCTCTTCGTTGCTGTACATACAACCACAGAAAACACTGTTAAACCAAAGCATTCCAGCACTTTCCCAGTGCCATGGAGCAAGCGGAAGGATTTCTTTCAAACTCAAGGATCATCTCATACCTGATGAGTCAATAGGAAGATCAAAATGTGCAGCACACAGGAAGGATCAGCAGTGCCTTATAAAACTTGTGCTCAACTTGTGTGTATGGGTGTGTACTGAGTAGTGATAAAGCATGTATTTTTCACTCTGGGTTCTGGTTAAAAAAAAAAATTGAAAGTCACTGTTTGGGGACATTATCATCATAGGACTCAGATCCAACCCCCTGGCCCTAATCTAATTGGCTCGGTTCAGATCTTGTGTGCTTGTCTTTGGATATATTAGTCATAGCTGTCATAGCTAAGGGCAGAGGACAAAGTCCAGACGTGGTCCCTAGGGGAATCACTGTGTTCAGGGCAGCACCACTCCATCTGAGTGAACCAAATCATCTTAGAAAAGGGGAATACAGAACCCCACAGAGGCCTGCAGACACTGAACAGTACTGTTGATTTGGTTCGCTCTCTCTTGGTATGGAAACCTTGAGTTGTATACCATAGTGCTGGCAGAATCTGAGCTTAAGCCTTTCAATTATAAAACCTTCTTGGTCAGAGTGTCCATAACTTCTACCCAAAAGAGCTCATGCTTTGAGAAATGTGGCCAAATCTAACTGCCTTATCATTACTAGCATTCCTACTTCTGAACACCTCATGCCCTAAACAAGCTTGCAAATCTACCATGGCCACCCATGCTCCTTAGACTGGAACTCATTGCTCTTCCTAACCTGGCCCCAGCCTTCCTGTTCAATCTCATCTCCAATTTCTCCTCCTTCCCTGGACCTTATTCTGTAGCAGCATTGATTAATCAGGATAGGCCAATTGCAGGAATAAACGACCTCCAAATCTTAGTGATCTAACTAATAAATTTCTCTCTAGCTCACATTAGAGTCCCACAGGCAGTAGAATGAGTTCCTCCTCCGCACAGTCATTCAGGGACCCTGACTCCACCCAATTTGTGGTTCTATTGTCTTCTTGGTCCTTGGAGTTCCCTTCATTAAGCCAGAGGATGGAGAAATACAGAGGGTGGGAGATTGCATGAATTTCACTGTCCAGAACTTAATCCCATGATCCTGCCAGACTGCAAGGGAGGCTGGCAAGTGGAGTCAGCTGTGTGTCTGGGAGGAGCAGGGAAAGTGAGTTGGTGAACACATACATCGTCTCTGCCCCACGCATTAAGTAGCTTGGCATCTCCAAACAGCTTTCCTTTGTGTTCCTCTGTGCAGAACTGTAAATACTTACCTGTGGCCTCATCCCTGTATCCACGCCCTCCAACTCAGGTCAACGCCACTGTCAGCATGAGAACCCTCTGGAAGCTCACCACATCCTCCCACACCTGGGGCAATTTGTTTCCTCCTTCTCTGTCCTTTCCGCCATCACTCATAACACCACCAACTCTCACAAGGGTGCACGACAGCTCTCTGGTGACACTTCTGCTTCCCTGGCTAGACTGAGCTCTCTGGGAGGGCAGGGGGAGACCTTTTTCTGTGTCCTCCACCTCTCACACTATGCTGAGGCACACTGGGGGGCATTTTGCAGATATGGAAAGAGATCAAAAGATGTGGTTTACCAACAATGCATGAAAT